CGAGAGCAGAGCACCATGGCGCTTATTTATAGCGACATGGCGCTGTCGCGATTTCTAGGTTTTTAAACCCAGATTTTGCCCCACCGTTTCAAGCGTTTTCGAAAACCCTAAGCGCCTCAGCGCTCTTCCGCCACTCTCCCTCCGTTTTTTCTCGATTTTTCTTCGATTTTCCTCCGTCTTAGGCCGATTTCATCCTCAATTCACGGTTTCTACCCTCTATTTCAGGATTGCGTGTTATTTTGGAGCGATTTTGGGCGTTCAAGTTGTGGGTTTTTGTCAAATCCACACGTTCTTCCCAACCAAGTAAGATTTTGTTGTTTTTGGCCGATATATACACTAATATTTGGCTGTTGTTGTATTTATTGAGATTATCGCACTTGGGTTGAAACATTTTGAAGCGTCAATACTTTTCTAGAGCGTTTTTGTTGTATGTTGTGTTTGTACTGTTATGGCTCCAAAACGAGCACGTGGTGCCTCATCTTCTAGTTCATATGATAGAAATAAATTTATTAATGAGGAGGCGGATCACTTGGTTCTCTAATGTAGGGGCCCATAAAAGTCTTATTCAGGAACGGGGCCTATTGCCTGATGAGGTCCACCAATAGAGCATGTATGTGAATATTGTTTCTAGAAGGTAGGTCAGTTTTGTTCAGCAGCCCAATGTCGCCGTGGTCCCCCTTGTTCGTGAATTTTATGCTAATATCCAGGAGGGGTTCAATATTTCTTTTGTCCTGGGAAGGAGAGTGGCTTTCGATAGTATCTCTATCAATGATTTTTTTGAGCTTCCCAATTTTGATCGGGACGACTATAATCGGTATGCTAGTGAGAAGCTTGACATGGATCAGATCCTTCGTAGTTTATGCCGCCCGAATGCTGAATGAAAAATGCGGCACGGTGAAGCCACTACCTTCAAATCTGCAGATCTGAGTGTTCACAATAAGGTTTGGCACAATTTTATTTGTTCAAAGCTACTCCCAATGACCCACATGAGCGATGTCACCAAAGAACAGGCCATATTTCTATATGCCATTGTTACCCGTAAGTCTATTGATGTTGGGCGGATTATCAAGCAGAGCATTAAGCATGCAAGACGCGGTACCACAACTGGTGGCCTTCCCCATCCCATGTTGATAACTGGCCTCTGTAAGGAGGTTGGTGATGTTTGCGACCCGACGGAGACAATTCTGGGTCCCAAAAGTGTGATGGACAAGAATTACATTTTGTCTATCAGTGGGTTGGAGCCCCTTATGGAGATTGAAGGCCCTGCGGAAGAACAACCGGAAGTCCATGCCGACCCACCTTCACAGCAGCGTGCTCCCCGACCACTTGAGGAGGAAGTTCGCTATCTTTCACGCTAGTTCCATCGTTTTCAGGTGAACCAGAGGCTGCAATTTGACTATCTTGTTCAATGCTTTCAGGCTCAACAATCATCGCAACCTCTTCCTCCACTTCCACAATTTCATGATTCATCCACTAAGGACGAGGACCAGTGACTCTACGTCATCATTCAGGGTAGTTTCCTTCTACTCCCTTATATTTTGTTCGGACTGTTATTATTAATTTGATTGCATTGCTTTTTCTTTACATTGGGACAATGTAACATTTAAGTTTTGGGGTAGTGGAATCGGATCTGTAATAATTATTTTTGGATGATAGGTTTACTCTGATTCATATATGCTGATCTCCTTTTTGAAACCTTGAATTCAGATTAATAATCTTGAAATTTTTGTGGTTTATGAATGCATTTTTTGAGTGGTTTCCTTATGCATGAAAGAGTTCAGTGTGAATGTTGTTGTTTTCCTTCTTGAAAATTTTATGATGGTTTCTCGTTGGATTATTGAATGAAAATTGCCATTGACTTGACACTATTTACATACCCAGTGAGCTTTTGAGCCTTAAAGCAATCCATTACATCTTGCTCAATTTTCATTCTTGTGTGTGATCGAATTTGGCATATTTATTCTATAACTTGCTGGTGAATGCATTTTGTGACCACTTGTTTGAATTGGTGTCTTAAGATGATAAGGGCAATTTATGTTTACCCACAATTTGAGACTTCTAAAGAGCCTACCTTGTTATATTTTCCTTCAGCGAGCCATATTTGAGCCTAATTTTTCATTCTTTTTCTTGGATTGAACACGTTTATTAACTCTGAGGCCTGTTTCGGATATTATCCTCCATATTTCTTTCCTTACTAGTGTCAAGACAAGGAAGGAAAAGTTGCATGCTTTAATTTGTCTCGATTCAAGCCAACTTTGTAAGCGAAAAGAAAAAAAAAGAAAAAAAAATATATAGTGAAAAAGAGAAAAAGAGTCTGATTGAAAAGAAAATGAAAAAAAAAGGTTCATAAGCGTATTCTCTCTTCTTCGTTGAGTAATGTAGAGAAAACATTTGGAGAATTATCTTCCAAGGAGCAATAAATTCTTGTGTTTCCTTAGGAGTGTTAGTGTTCGATGGTGCATTGTATTCATTGTTCATTGGCTTCAGCACGTTATGTAGTTAGTATGCAACCTAATATC